ATTTTATTTTAGCTCACAGATACGCTTTTTTATAATGGATTTCGAGTTCTTTACCGTCAGTAAGAACGAAACATTACTGGTATCCGGCGCGATATCGAATAGTTTAGAAAATTACCAACCCAAGAAATTGGAGGGGAGTCCTCTTATACTTACAAAGGATGATAAGTTAAGAAGATTCCGCCGATGCGACCTAAAGAAAACAGTGCAGAATATCAAACGAGTATTCCGAGGGAAAAAGGCAAGAGTGATTAAACCATTGCTGGAACAATTATACAAAAATATAAGTCACCAGGGGGGATCAACCTTGTCTACGGTATACTTGCAAAGATATTTGCATATAAACGATAGGGAGCCGCTAATAGTATTTTGGAACGGAACGTCAGATATCACGATAATTAAGCGTTTAAGATTAACAGGAATTTTAGCATATTTAAACATATCGGCAATTAGCGTTAGGAATAATGACGAATTTATATTAGAATTATCAAACCTAGAGACTAAGGAAGTTTTATATTCAGGTTATTTAGGTAAATTAAATAAAAATGGTAGAATGTTAGGACTATCAGAAGCTCATGAACTAGCATGCGATATTAATCATAATATTACACATTGTCATGATCCGGTTGCAGACGTAATTTTAACGAAATGCTTATTCAATTACATAGTAACAAAGATAAAGCCCATTAAACTATATAATTTAGCAAAAAAAATAATAATTATGAAATTTTAAAAATAAATAAGTTATTATAATTAATAATAAATCTAACACAAAATAAATTAAACAATGAAAACAAATAAATAAATTAACATCCATTATATATCCAATTACATAATGAATTACCTTAAGTAAATCTATAGTTGCATATGTCTATGGCAAATCTAACAATTATTCACATAAGATTAATATATAGGTGGAAGATAAATATTATTATTATATAAAAGGGGAAATACTTAAATTGTATACTTACGTAACGCTTATAATGTTGTAATTTCAGGTATCTATATTATTTTGTTAAAGATTATTAATCATTTTATTAACACTATTGTTTAATTAAATCATGTATTAATTTATTTTACTAACCACAATTAAAATTGTAAACAATAATAATAATAATGATGACATTTAAATTGTAAAATGCTCACATTATTGTAATCAAATGTAATACTGTAATCAAATTGTTAACTGTATACAAATTTAAATGTCAATGTAAACAATGTAATTCAGCCATTGTAAACTATTAATTAACGATGTTAAAGATTCTTAACCCTTAAAGGTTAACAATCTTTTTTTTGGTAGGGAGGTGTAATGGGATTACGTAATATCATGTATTTTGCTCATAATAACAGCCAGGAATGGGATTACGCAATATCATATATTTGCTCATAATAACAACCAGGAATGCGACCACACCCAAAAGTGTTTTCGACTACGAATACCACTTTCATAGTCGTGAGGTCCATATCAAGGACGACTGTACACGCGCCGCTCACTTCAAAGGACGCCGCCACCATATATATAGGGGACAGCGAGACAGCCAAAGTAGATGTACCAGAGCCGCCAAGACCGAGCGAGCCGTTTAGCCACCAGCCATTACACACGACTTACATGGAGATTATCGACTACTACAACGAGTCAACTCACGACGCTGCAATTCACCACGACTATATTAATTATTATTGGTTTTAATAAATTACAATTGATTTATATTTAAAATTGTCTACATTTTATTGTAAAAGTGCAACAAGCTTTTGGATCCCTGAAGGGCCGCATGTAACAATATTTATATTATATTTTATCTATTTTATTAACATATTATATTTTATACTTTAAGGTTTTATATGAAGTCTTTATTACCCGAAATTATTGATCCACAATTCCCTAAAAGAATGCTGAAATCAGATATTCGAGAACCAGACCACATAAAAAAAAAAAATGATTATAAAAAAAAATTAATAAAATATTTGAATATAATTTAGACAAGTTGAATGGTTTTTTATTTTTTACTTTCTTAGATTGCAACTCAGTAAGTGTAAATCAAATTCAAGTAGTTTATTTATGGCTGATTAAAATGTAAGAAGAGTTATACCGGGTGACGTATAAGACTCGATTTTCAATATTTCATTCTCAAAATCGATAAAATCGTTTTGCGTTTTCAGTTATTTTCACTTTTTTACTTATGAATAATTGGTATAAAAAAATTAAAATATCAAAAATCGAGTCTTGTACGTCACCCGATATAACTATTCTACAACTTTTAATTAAGGTATATAGCTCTAAAACCATTTAGGTACTTAGCCGTATTATTGGAACAAAATTGGAATGTTTTTGTACGGTATTTTCGTTGGTTTAGCGTCCTCAATGTTATATTATTGTCATTGAATAATAAAAATAATAATATTTATTATAATCAATGGTATTATGGTAATACATTCGAAAATATTAGAAAGTATAAAAATTAAATACATAATTGGTATGTCTATATTGATATTTTTACAAACTAAATGTAAATCGTAAGTTATTGTACGTAAAATATTGTTAACTCGAATACTTAAAATGTTTGTACAACAATTTGTACGGTAAAAACTTGATTTTCTAGCCAACATAATATTATTATATACAAATAGGTATACAATTGGGCTGACAGCGGCTTTAATTAAAAGATGGTTAGTGTGGGTATAAGAGCGAATATGGTGGCAATGCATTTACGTGTATGAATTTTATTTCCACGGAATATGTCACGGACGAACGTTCATAAGATAATAAACAACGCTCCCGAACTCGACAACTCGTCGGTCGGTACGCGGCTGTGAGTAGTGGGCGTGGCTTAAACGTCGCGTGCTTGCGGATCACTAAAACACCTAACAGCGCATTCTCTTGGTCATTGCATGGTTTCGTTTGCCCGTGTGGCGTCCTCTTAAGAGTAGTTTTAGATAGTATATATTATTATAGTAGTTTTAACAAAAAACTTTGTTGTATTTAGAATAAAAGATACTATGATGACCCGTATTTATATAATATACTTTTCTATACAATTAAAGCATTTTAATAATAATATATTATTATAATTATATATTTATATATTTACATGTACTATATATTATATATACTTAAGTTTATAAGCTATAATATAATATAGTGCTTATAATGCTTATATACAAGTTATATATGTATACAATTTATTAAACTATATACACAATACACTGTGGTGGCGCACACTCCAAGGGATAAGGGGAGCGCTTGCCCCCTCAAATAATTTAGTGGTAGCTCATACAATATGTATATGTAGGTATACCATAACTTATAATTACACAACGTATACTCTGTAATCCAATTCATAGGTAACATTTTGACAACAAAATACACATGTCAGAATCACAATCCGGTTTTCCTACTTGCAACATCATTAGCATTACAAAAAAAGAGATGCTATAAGTAGGTAGTTGCATCTCTGCAACAACAACAACTTTCAAACGATCACACCCAAAGGACGCCTGAAAAATACGTGAGCCATCCATTTCCAAAGGAACCGCGACAACGTATATATAGGAGGGCCAAGAACACTGTACATTGAGACGTACCAGAGTCGTTAAGACCAGAGCAGCCTCAATATGACACTCAGCCATATCAACGCTACTCTGACTACTATACAATTTTTTACTATAGACATAAACACTATTTCAATTTACTATTCAAATTGTCTACGAAGTACGACTTTATTCAAAATCACCATCCTTTGAGATCACTAATGGTCCGCTTACTATAAATTACAATATATAGTAGATCCTAATTCCTATAGTAGCTGACAGCATAGGTTATATTATATTGTATAATATTTTAAATGTAGTCCTGACTCTCGCGCGCGGTCGCCGATCAAAACTGTCTGCCTGGTATACACCGATTCCAAATAAATTGTACGTTAACTCTTAACGGTTAGCGCGAGAATAAACACGTATAAATGTATAATATTATAATTGTACTAATAATTGGAACTGGCTGTATATTATGATTTAAGGCTGCGCCGCAGCCGACGCGTTGGACCGCTCGGCCACCTCGTCCTCCGAAATAGAGTATATATAGTTATAATAATAGCCATTAATTAACAACACAGAGTGCAGACAGACATTATAATATTATTTATATTATTATGGTTAATTACAAGGCATTCTGATTCTGATAATTTAATAAAAATTATTTCCCTCACGACCTACGACTATAAATAAATTGTGTACAAGTTAAAATTATTAAGACAAGAAATCACTAGTTGGTATGTATACCTTTTATATCTAAGTACAAAGTCCACCAACATAAATATCGTATCGCGAACTAAATCCGCGCCTACGGGCGATAAGCCCGTTATCGCTCATACACTAATAATAGCCACACAGTACATACATCGATTATAATGAGACCTACATCAAATCCTACAAAACTTAAAATTACGCGCGCACATTCTAGTAGTGAGCAAAGAATCCCACCAATCATCATAAAAAAAATTAAAAAAAGCAAAGACAACGTTGACCTTGACTGTCACTCACCCCCCAACTCCGATGACGATTTTAGATCTCCCAGAAGAACGTCAAAAGTATACGACTCGCCAACCAAAATTTCATACACCACACCTAATTGATATTCCATACTAGATAAGACTAAATCCAATAATCAAGAAATGTTTACCTTCAACGAAGATACACTTCATATTGCACAAACTGATAATCAAAACAATCACTCAATACGCTCCCAAACGATCGATGATACTATCAAAATTCCCCCACTATTCATATTAAACATAACACAATTTTCTTAATTTCGCAACGAAATATCGAAAATCATTAGTAATGAATTTGTCGCCACATCCAAATTTGACAGAATAAAAGTGAACCTAGAAATCGTAGATGACTTCCGTGCACTAACCAAATATCTAGACGAAAAAAAATATGAATATTATACCTATCGACTGAAAACTGAGAAAGATATCTCCGCAATCATAAGAAATTTGCCAATGTCAATAACCGAATTTGAAGTAATGGAAGAATTAAAAATCCTAGAATATCCAGTAAAATCAGTAACCAGACTTACCAACAAAAATAAAACCCCACTAATGGCAGTTCAACTGACTAATCATCATAAATCACAAGAAATTTTCAAACTCAACAAGCTTCTAAATTGCATAGTCAAAACCGAACCACGTCGGAAATCGAAAGATCCTCCCCAATGTACAAATTGCCAAAGATTCGGACACTTACACATGTCCTGTAAACTCCAACCATGATGTGTGAAATTTAAACTCTCACATCATTATTCAAACTGCGAAAAAACTCCAGAAATTCCACCTAACTGTGTAAATTGTAATGGAGCTCACCCGGCAAATTACAAGGGTTGCACCTATTTTAAAAATATCAAAAATAAAAAAATGAACTACATCAAAAAACCTCAATTAATCGAAAATGTTCCACCAAAAGACTCAAACATTAATGAAATCGCCAATAATCTCACAAAAAATACAAGAAATCTGAACTCCTACGCAAATATACTCAAAAGAAATACAAATTCTACCCAAAATACTGGTAAAAACGAGGAACATATATACCCCGAATCGCTAAACGAAAACCTCCAAAAAACAATAACCCAATTTATTGAAAACATTCTACATAACATACAATCCATCATTAGTTCCATCTTCAACTCAATCTCAAACAATCTATCTTTATCCAGTTTAAATGACATCCATTAATTTAAAAGAAATCAAACTCGTTAACTGGAATTCAAATGGCATTAAATCCAAAAAATCTTCACTTATGGAATTTCTATTCCGCCACAAGATAGACATAGCATGCATAACAGAAACTCACCTCAAAAACACAGAAACATTCAAGATCAACGGTTATAATATATACAGAAAGGATATATTCTAAAATTATTCAAATGTTTATATCCTATGTTTCTTTTTATTTAGAGTTCGATGACAATGAAATTATGGCTAAACCAGTAGATAAAAGAAAAAATCAAGAAAAACATGGTTAGTATATAGTATGATAAAAAAAAAGTCGAGCGTGTAACAAGTACGCGGGGATGAAGTGAAACTTCTTTCAGTCATGCAACTGATATGAGGTATTGGAATAAAATAAAAAAAATACACTTTACAATTTTATATTTAATAGAACTGTTTTTTTTTATTATTATTTATTTATTTTAAGAACCACAATCTATCACACACAGAACAAGCATGTATGGATTATTGGTGAATTTGTTTTCAAATTCTCTATGAGCTTTTTGAAACTTACGAAAATTACTGTATGGCATAATCAAATTATCATTATAGACACTTTCATCATTATCAGACAATAATTCATTTTCCCTGCAGTTGTTATCAATATCATTGTTTTCATTTATTTGATCCTCATCCAAATTCTCTACAACCATAAATTCATCATAGACAACCAAATCGTTTTCAACGTCATCAAGTAGATTACACAGAGCTTTCAAATGTCTATTCCGTGTACGAAATTGTCGTGCACGTTCTGCATCAGATACTGGAATATCTGGGTTATTTTGTAATATATCTTCACGTTTCCGAATACGATACTGGCGTGCACGTTCTGCATCTGACATAGGTCCAGGTGACGACATTAATAAACCACTAACGCTATTTTCCGATTTTTTTTCCTTTTGTCGATTTCGGTATTGTCGTGCACGTTCTGCATCAGATACAGGCAGATGAACTTCAGCTTGAACGACTACTCGGTTACTTTGACTAGGTTCTTTACAATACTACTTAAAAAGTTCATAAATACCTGTTGTATCTACAGCTATAGCTGAATGAATTATGGATTCTTCAGCAGATGTACTTGGTAAAGGATTACCCATAACTAAAAATAGTAGAATCACTGTTGAAAGTGAAGCTTGACGGATTAATGATGTTAGCATTAATATAATAAGTAATAACACGACAATATGATTATGTACAAGTATAATATATAATAACGTACAACTGGACAATTAAACTGTGACAGTACACACACATCGTATACGCTCTGTACAACGACGCCTGTGCAAGTGATTATTACATACATCAAAGGCCCTATTTGTATGAACAATCGAGGCCATCCCGTATCCGTATATAATATAGAAAGCGATAGTAAAGGTGTACACAGCTATATCGTAACTGCATAAGTATCTATTAGAAAACGACATTGTACACGCACGTGTGTTTACATGGTTTGAATACTAATATTAATTGTATATTTCAACACCCTCCCTCAATTAATAATTTCTTTAATTGTAGTCACTCCTATGGCTGACCGCAACTTCTCGAATCGTTCCTTAACCAAAGGCTTGGTTAGAATGTCCGCAATCTGGTCCTCTGTTCCAATGTACTGTAGTTGGAACTGTCCTTCTTCGTATTTCTCCCGTATGAAATGATATCGTACGTCTATGTGTTTTGTCCTCTTATGAAACTCCGGATTCTTAACTAAACGAATAGCACTCTGATTATCAATGAATAATACCGGTTGTTTATCACCTGTTTTTGATAAGCTTATTATCAACCGCGTAATCCACATGATCCCTTTTACAGCTTCACTGGCCGAAATATATTCAGCCTCGGTCGATGACAATGACACACAATGTTGTCTCTGCGATGTCCATGAAATTATGCTCGACCCGTATCTGAATAGAAATCCTGACGTTGAACGTCGTGTCTGAACGTCACCTGCGTAATCTGAATCGCTAAATATTTCTAATGACAATTGTGTATTATATTATGATTAAAATACAAGCCATAATTAAATGTTCGTTTGACATATCGTATAATCCGTTTTACCAAGTTCCAATGAGCTTTAGTTGGTTTTGCTAAGTAACGACTAGCAAAGTTTACTGCATATGCTATATCTGGTCTCGTTACCTGTGATAAAAACAGTAAGCTACCTATTGCCTGCCTATAAGGTATTTCTTCACTTAATATCTCTGATTCTTCCTTTTGTTCAATAGTATGTGATTTGTCTATCGGAATTGAAAGTTCCTTGGCGTCCAGCATATTAAATTTATTAATTATGCTACATGCATAATTTGTCTGATGCACAAATAATGAACCATTTTTCATTAAGTTTACCTGCATACCTAGAAAATATTCTAAGTTTCCCTTTTTAACCTCAAACTCTTTCTCCAAGTTCGTTAAAAGTTTCTCTATTATCTCTTCATTATCTGCCGCGATTAAACCATCGTCAACAAATATTGCAAGAATAATTTGGCTGTTATCAGCTTTGAATACACATGCATCCGCTTCGGTACATTGTAAACCAAATGCATTCAAAAAGTTCTTAAAGCGTATATTCCAACATCTTGGACTTTGTTTTAAGCCATACAAACTTCGCTGAAGCTTACATACTTGATTTGAGCCATCTTCGTAACCTGGTGGTTGTACCATGTATATTTCTTCCTGTAGTTCCCCGTACAGAAATGCTGTCTTGATGTCGAATTGTCGTAGTATTAATTTTTCCACAGCTGCTACTGCGAATATCGCCCTTATTGATTCGTATCTGACCACTGGCGAAAATGTTTCATGGTAATCTATACCATATTTCTGTGAACAACCCTTAATGACCAATCTGACCTTAAATTTATCTATACTACCGTCAATTTTATATTTGGTTTTGAACACCCATGCATTTCGTAATGCAACTTTATCCTGTGGCAAATCGACTAGAGTCCAAGTCTGATTTTCGTGTAATGAATTAATTTCGTCGTTCATAGCATTATTCCATTCATTTTTGTTTGACCCAGTAATTGCCTCATCATAATTCATTGGACTGACACAGTTAGCAATAAAAGTCTGAACATTATACCTGCACGGCTTCTTAAGTGTATTCCTGTCACGTAGAACCATAACATTTCTATCATCGACTATGTTTTCGTCCTTCTCACGCACGCCCGTTGAATTAATTTGAGTGTCTGTAAACTCTAATGTGTCTGCAATTACATTTTCATAATTATTACATTCGTCTTCGAATATAATGTCTCTGCACACGGATATTTTATTTGTTTTCGAATACCATACACGATAACCTTTCGTGCTGTTCGAATATCCAACAAATATTCCTTTTTCACTTTTTGGATCCCATTTCTGACGTTTTTGCTTTGGTATGTGTGTATATACCGCAGTACCAAAAACTCGTAAATGTTTAATATCTGGCACAGTTATAACTCTGTTTTAACACTTTTTATAAATGTTTCCATAATATTTTTTACTTCATATTTATTCTTAATAAAATATACCGTTCTGTAATGTGAGTAGTCATCTCTAAATAGTAAAAAATATTTTGACATACCGATAGAGTCCCTCTGCATCGGTCCACATAAATCTGCATGTATTAAATCGCCGACGTTAAAATATTCGGTCAAACTTTTACTGAACGATTGACGGTGTTGTTTCCCGATTATGCAGTCGCTGCATACAAATTGATCGTCCTTGGCTGAATAATCAATATTATGTTTTGCCAAACAATTCCTCACGTATTGAATATTCTGGTGAGCTAAACGCTTATGCCATACTTCTAATCGTTTTTCTACTGCAATGTTCGCAAAACATTCAGCTTTCGATGGTGCTTCAACTTTGATCTGTAATTCAAACAACCTACCGCATCTTGTGCCTATGCATACAGGAATCCCGTTTCTTTTGAACACACACGTTTTATTGTCTGACGTTAGTTCTAAACCTTTGTCTAACGCTGACCCGCACGAGAATAAATTAAATTTTAATCCCGGCACGTGCAATACATTTTCCAAGTAATTTTTATTCCAATTACCGTTCACGATAATGTTAACGTTATCACGTTCATGATAATATATTAATATTAACTTTTCCTGTTGCATATAGATTTGTTCCGTCACAATTAACAATTTACCTGTTGTGTATATTTCAATGGTTCATAACTTGTAAACCATTCTAGGTTCGCGCTCATATGATCCGACGCGCCTGAGTCTAAAACCCACGTATCTGTTGTAGTTTAATTTATCCTTGACTCGCTTACAAATGCATTTAAATTTGTACCTGTAGTACCGGTTTTCCCACCTTTCATACTACTTAGAAAATTCTTACAGTTTCTTTTATAATGACCAATTTTAACACAGTAATAACATTTAACATTACTTTTATTAGTAAATTGCTTTTTACCTTTACCATAACTGCCGTTTTTTCCATCGGATCTGTTTTGAAATTTGGCTGGAAATGCACTCGATTTCTCTTGTTCACCAACTTCACCTTTGATCTGGATAACCCGTGATTGAAGAATCAACAACCGACTAGTTAAATTATTTATATTTTTACTTCCCGTTGGGACTGAATCCCAAACACTGTAAAAATGATTATATTCTTTTGGTAATGTCATTAGTATTTTTGTCATAACCATGTTATCCCTAACTGGTTCACCCGCTACTCTCAGTTTCCTTCCTAAATAGACCAATTTAGAAATATGCGTCGACATGTCATCCAGTGGCGGCCTGGGTTCATTTTTTTTGGTCGACTAGAATTTAAAAAGGCCCTGACCAATAAGACTAATAGAAAATGTGCAAATGCAAATGGCTGTGGGCCTTTTTACAGTTTTACATTTTTAAAGATACCTAATCATTTTGAAGTTCTACTTCCCCCACCCCTTCCAAAAAAATGTATATGTAACTATTTTTGTAAGTACCTTATTTAAGTTTCAATTAACTTTACCCCTTTGGTATTATAAAAACAAATAACAAAATATCTATAATGTTACCTATTCAACATTGCTGTTGATGCATATATACTATAATATTAATAGGTATTTGGATTATTTTCATTACTTACCTCTAGGTATAGCTCTTGCCTGTTGCATGAAGTCTACTAGTCTACATACCGAATACTTCATATTATAATATATGAGGACCTGGTTAATATTATTCATATTAATTGTGTGTGCTAAACAACTTTTTAGTGTCTACCACCGCATTATTATATAATATTTAATATTCAAATCAATAATACAGAATATTCAATGTTTTAATACATTTTAATAAATGATCAGATAAGTCCCAGTCTGTAAATAATTGTAAGTAAATGTTTAATATCATTATCAACTAGTTAAAATAAAATGAAAAAAAAAATGAACTATAAATAATAAATTAAATTAGTACAAGAGTAATTTTTGTAATTCTAAAGAGGAATTTGCATAACAGGTTATTATTTCTTGTATATCAGGAATTTTGTCACTTTCAATACTGATTAATAGAAGTGGCTCTAATAGTTCTTGACTCAATGACGACCTAAGTCTTGTTTTAATAATTTTTAATTTTGAAAAGGACCGTTCACAATGCACTTGGGTGCATGAAAGTGTTAAAATATACTTGTATACCGAGTATAAATTGGTAAATGCAGATGTATGAAAATTGTACTTGTATAGCAATTTCATAACACATGGTATGCATTTTTTACAAATTGAATTTGTATTTAACTTTTTTGGTGGTGATTCAGACTCCACGTTTAATTGTTTATCAATATTTTCATCAAACACATCTGACAGTTCTGATCCACATGCATATTCTCCTTCCAATGACTTTGCTATAGATTCATAAGAAGATGAAAAGTTAATTAATTCTTCTTGGACAATAGTGGGTTGTAATCCATTGCCCCACATAACATCCTAACCTTGAATGAGCTTTAAATTAATATTGTAATTTGAATGTTCATGCTTAAATAAATATTAGTTTTTGGTTGAATCGTGATCGTTTTAATATGAAATAAACCTTGCCTGAATATCATTTGAACCAAAAAAAAAGATCGAATCAACACTTAGTCCTCAATGTCGGTTAAGCGTTAAAAAATAAGGGTTTATTAAACCTAGGATCTTGGCTTAAATTTATATTTATACAAGACTTGTTAAACCTTAATATTATTAATTCTTAATCAATATTTGATACTCATTGAACCTCCTTATATATCTTTTTTATCAATTTTAGGTTAATTATTATACATATCAAAATATAGCTTAATTCAACTTTTAACTATAAATTAAATTCCATCCATTTAATCTGTTTGTTTTACCTTTAATTGAATATATAATTCAATAAATATTATTATCTATAATGATAAACAAAAGATTTGGTAAACAAAAGACAACACGACCAACACAAAACAAATAATAATACATGGACACATGGTAATAATAAATAATATTATAAATTATAAATTATTTGCATAGCAATTCAGGTGTAAACATTAGAGTCATTATTCGTTTTACCATAATTTTAATGGATTTTCCACCAACAGATGATAAACGTTTGACCTAAATCAATAATAGTTTAACTTTTGTATATATAAGTACATAAAAATAATGTGCTTAAACAAATTACATACCAACTGATGCCGATAATTTTTATCAATAGATAACTCATTTTCTAATTCTTGTAGATTTTCCTGGCTTTTAATAGGCAATTTATCATCTATAAAACAAGTGTCGTATAAGAGTTGAGATTCTTTAGTTTTTGTCAAAGTATTTTCTTCGTCTCTCTGAATAATTATATCTAATTTCTCATGTATTGATTTAATTTCATATTTAATTGTTAGCATATAATTCAATAACCTCGCATATTGATCATCTGTAAAAATACGTTAAAATAATAAATATTCTTCATAGATAAACAGTGTTCAGTGGGCAAATCGGGAATTATTAAGATATCCAATAAAAACAAAAATTATGGAATATGTAAATCAAAATTATCAGTTAAATAATATTATGTAATCGACAATAGTATGATTGGAATAATGTTATAGTTGAGGGTACATATTATATACTTATTATTTCTAATAATTACCTTTATGAAGAGTTTTTTGTTTATATTTTGATGTAGGTCCTTCTGTGGATTTGATGGATATACTATTGTTGACTAAAGTCAAAATAATAGCATATAGGAAATTAATATAATATAATATAATATTAAAATATAATATTACAATATATAATATTGATAATAAATTATCTACAAGTTCTCCTAGAACTCAACTAGCACAGTGGGCTATTAAGCATAACATTTCTAATGTTGCAGTATCTGACTTACTAAAAATTGTTATTTCGTGTTATGATACTTCAGTACCGATTGACGCCAGGACTTTACTTAAAACTGATATTTCCGGTACTAATATTCCTTTAAGAGATGTTTTACCTGGTAAATATTACCATTTTGGAATCGCAAACGGAATTAGAAATCATTTAATTATTGAAAACCGAAATGATCAATTGATCAAATTAGTAATAGGTATTACCTCTAACTAAGAGTTCAAGAAGCACGTTTTGGCCAATTTTGAGTTATATATTAGACCGCATTCAAATATTGTATTTCCTATTGGAATTTATTGGGGTTATGACAAACCAAGCGATTCAAATGATTTTTTACTTGATTTTTATGAAGAGGTAGTACATTTAATACATAACGGTGTAGACATTAAAAATATGTCGGGAGTACTCAAAAATAACCAAATTTGTATTGATACATTCTGTTGCGACGTACCGGCAAAGGCCTATGTTTTAAAGACTAAGGGTCATAGTGGTATTTCTTCGTGTTTTCGGTGTTGCACAGAAGGAGAGTATTTAAATAGAAGAGTTTGTTTCCCAGATATTAATTGTAATAAACGGACTCACGAAACTTTTATAAACCAACAGCAAGAAGACCACCATGTTGGCTCTAGTTTGTCAATTTTAATCAACATTCCAAAAATAAATATTATTAATGTATTCTCACTAGATTATATGCATTTAATATGCTTAGGTGTAACAAAGAAATTGATTAATTTATGGTTGAAGGGTCCCTTGAAAACCCGTTTGAATGGTACTAAAAGTAAATGTCTAAATAATAGTTTAATAGAGCTCAAACATTTTGCCTCCATTAACTTTCAGCGGAAACCTCGTGGTATTGATGAAATATCTAGGTGGAAAGCTGTAGAATTTCGAAGTTTTTTATTATACCTTGGACCTGTGGTACTTAAAAATGTTATTCATAAAAAATGCTATTTAAACTTTTTATGTTTACACATAAGTATTTTTATACTACTTAAATCAAACATTGAGAATAATTACTTAGATTTTTGTAAACGATTATTAGATTATTTTATACATAATTTTATTTCCATTTATGGTCGTGAGTGGGTATCTCATAATGTGCACGCACTACAACACTTAACTGATGATTATAAAAACTTTGGTTCATTAGAAAACGGTAGCGCGTTTCCATTTGAAAATCACATGAAAACCCTTAAAAAATATGTGCGAAAAAGCAATCAACCATTACAGCAGACAGTTAAACGTTATACCGAGACTATACACTACAATAATATGTCATTAAAAGCTTTACCTCATACAATTGATTTTATTTTTAAAAATAAACATAGAAAAGGCCCATTACTTACAGAATTAAACGATGAATACATTGATTTTCAATTTAAAACTCTAATTTTCAGCAACACCGAGATTAAAATTCACCAAGAATCTGATAATTGTCTATTGATGACTGATGGCAGTATTGTTAAGGTTAAAAATATTGTTTGCCTAAATGAAACATCTAATCAAGGTTTTATCTTAGGACACAGTTTTGACATGAAAGAACCATTTTATCTAAAACCTATTGACAGTTCTGAAATTTATAATAAAAGAATGGAAACTATAAATAATTTTAATAAGGTACAAGAAAAAGAAATGCAAAACGAAATAGAAAAATCAATATTAAATAATGAAATCTTTGTTAAGTTCTGTAAATATGAATACTTTAATACTAATAATAAAAAAAATATTAAAATCACGAAATGTATAATAAAAAAAAAATTTAATAAGGTATATGAAAATGAAATGCAAAATGAAATAGAAAAATCATTATTAAATATTGTTAAGTTCTTTAAATATAAATACTTTAATACTAATAATAAAAAAAAATATTAAAATCATGAAATATAATCTAAATAAAATTCCAATTAAAGGAAATATTTTAATTGTTGTTCATGGAAACAATATTTATGGAAATGGAAATCCTTATGCTTCTAAAATATTAGAATCACCAACATGGCTTGAAATTTGTAAAATAGCTAATGATTTAATAAATACAACCGATACTTATATTTTCAAATATCTCCATGATATTTGTGTTGTTCAAAATTTAGGAAATATTAAAATATGTTGTCTTAGCATGGGAGGTACAGATGCCGATCATAAGATGCTTAGAATATAATAATAATAATAATAATAATATAATTTAATTTTCAATAGAATTGTTCTATTAAAAAATGTTCAATATTTAACGCGTGTCCGAATATGATACTAAGAGGGGGACTTATAAAGAATTAAAATCAAAAATGTTTAATCTAAAAATGAAGATTCTAACATAAAAAGCAACGGAGTTATACTTAAATGAAAAATATGAAGCGGGGGGTAATCTTTTAATATGTAGTGTAGATAAGCATATCAAACATATCTGTGTTGATCCGACTTGATAATATCAAATATTAAATGAAACATAGGCGCCAAGTACATGGGTGCTCGGGTGCTCGAGCACCCATTGAAAATATTCATTGGGTGCGGAGCACCCAATGGCCAATATATTAATTATAATAGGTAAATCGTAATATCCGAACTGTTTTTGGGTTTTTTTTAAAACTGAATCAACCGATGCACTAACTTTATTCACCTTAGTATCTAATATTTTAACAAAATTCAATCTAACATTATCAGAGTGTCGTGGTCAAGTTATGATGGTGCTGCAAAAGTAAGCGGCCATATAAGTGGTCTCCAAAAAATAATTTTAGATATTGAAAAACATGCTATATATGTTCACTGTGTAGCACATAGTTTAAGCCTTTTGGTCCAAGATGGTATGATGAGTGTAGATAGATCTCGAGATTTTTTAGCTCGAATCTTAGCTATAAGATCTATTATAGTGTTTGTACGCTGTTCCCAAAAGACAGGCAATTTTCAATGCTCTACAAAGTGACCAAGAATTAAATTCTCAATCATTTCATCCATTCTGTCCAACCAGATGGTGTATGCGAGTAAAGTCTTTAAAAACATTATACTACAATTATGCAGTTTTAATAAAGTTTTTAGATAATATATCAAAAGAGAGGTCAGAAAATGGTGCCAAAGCAAATGGTTTTCTCAAACAATTTGTAACGGAACAAAACCACGGTACCTATGTAAGTAGCGCGATCTGTGTTCCGTCACTAAACCAGTCCGCCCGCCGACCAACACGCGCTCTCGTGCTGCAAACATGCCCAGAACATCATAACCACCGTGATTGACGTCCGACAGGCAGAGCACACATCGCCACGCCAATACAGACGATACGGCGGCCCCTGGGGAAACTCATTGTTCATGAAAAACCCCGCAACTTAAAACCATTTTCATACTACTATAAAATTCTACAGAACCTACGCTACATGATGGGTAATTTTAATATATTTTAAGCTGCCAAGAAAACATCGAAATCCGCAAAAGCATTTCATACATTCTACACGCCATCGATAATCCGAGAATAGCATATATAGACCTCGAAAACGCCGTCCAGAGCACCACTTCCCCGCTGTGTCGAATGCATTAGTGAGCCGGACGAGCACACCACTCGTTAGACACGGACACTAATCATTCGACAAACCAGCATACGCCCTACGACTTATTGCAAGCCGGACGAGTCTTTTAAGCTCGTTAGACACGGATGCAGTATACAGTCCGCCCCGGCAACCCCAGCAACGCTGTTATTACGTCGAGCCGCCGCCGTCCGAGCCGTGCTGCCGTGTAGCATCTGCTGTCCCTCGTATTCTTTTCGATAACACTGTTATTACGTCGAGCCGCCGCCGTCCGAGCCGTGCTGCCGTGTAGCATCTGCTGTCCCTCGTATTATTTTTGATAATACTGTTATTACGTCGAGCCGCCGCCGTCAGAGCCGTGCCGCCGCGTATCAACTAGTATCTCGTGCCGTGAGACGACGTATACCCGTAGTCCACCGCCAATCGTTTGGAACTGTATCACCGCCGTTCGAGTAGAGTGTACAGTTCGATCAAATTGTTCAATTCTGGTTTGTCGTGTCGGTCGAGTATTTCGAGTTGTTCCTATCCCGCCGACAACCAGATTGAAGAGCATCACCGCCACGCACGTTGCTGTGAAGCTGTCCAAGGATCCATACATTGTATTACGTCGGAGACGAGTACGCCACACACGGATCATATCCAACTCCACCAAGTCGTGAGTTGAATGTAAACTACCCCTCCCTTTATATGTAAATCCCCAAATAAACTATTTTTACTGTACACTCTCCGGAGTCAACTTTAATTCAATATAAAAGAAAATACTGTTATAAGATTCATACATATTGTATAAACTCAGATGATGAACACATTGGTTTTAAATAAATAAAATACTAAAATTATCAACCAAGTGCGTTTCATTACATTGGCGCCCAACGTGGGGCTCGATTTAGAAGAAATTCTACTTCGGACCCCGAGATTAAGAAATTTGTGAAGGAAAGCTACATCGATTTGCAAAAAAGAAAACTACATGGTGAACATGGCTCCGAAGAAAAATGTCACCGAGG